TTTTGGATGTTTTTCAACTGCATATAATCATGGCAAAAATTTGCCCTGGCAACCTTTTTTTCTGTCTATGATGTTGCCTTCAGCTCATCGCTAGCCTATGAGTGCTTTTATCCTCAGCTGTATCAATGTTCCCCTTATTCTGATGCCATCTAAGGACAGCCTTAAAGTGTACAAAAACTATTAGGCTTTGCCACTCATTACTTTACAGGGAAGTGAGCGGACTGGTAGTGGTCTTATCCATATGCCATGCCCTCCCTGCCCTGGTACCAAAGTGGCCTACTCATTATACCTTGAACTGGCTTCAGCCAGCCTCCAGTTCAGACTGCCACAGAGGCTGGCTGAAGCCAGATCAAGGTATGCTGGCTGGAAATTTGTTTTCGCCATTGGAAAAATGGAACAAGCCTTCATCTGCAGAAACTTTCTGTGTCCTAAGGGAGGCTGGTGACCTCCACTTGGCTCATCAAAGGAAGCTCCCTCTCCAATCAATTTGGGAGAAAGATCCAAGTAACTGGGAACAGAGGCAACAGAGTATGATTGGGATTACTAATGGGGGCAGGAATATCATGCTGGCATTGCTTTTTGCTGATCTGAGAATGGCTGAATATATTTCAACTCAGCAGAAAGGAAAGGCCTTTTAAGGGCTCCCAAATCGCACTTTGTTGAGTTTCGCTCCCCTAGATTGATATGCCAATCTCTCTACTGAATATGTCACTACTTAAACAAAAGTCAACCAAAATGTAAGAAGGTACAAAATGCAATTTAGTACAATTTAAACCACAGTTTAACATATTTATCATTAGTAGAAAAGAGCAAAAACAATATTCATTGGGTTGGAAATAGAATGAACTAGCAAATCAATTATAGCATTGTGTAATCAATTCTGTCATGATTTTAAAAAAATCACTTTTTTTTTTTTTTTTTGGCAGACCTGCCAACAGTTGAAAAATACTTGAAACGGAAAGGCAAAACTTCAAGTTCTACGGGTGTCAAATTTCCCACTGAAACCTCTGCTGAATTAGTGTGCATGAGGTTTCTGGTGCTTCCATATCTGGTTTTTAAAAAAATTTAAAACGTTTCTTTTAATGAAAGATACATGGGAAGCTGGTATGCTGCAAAAGCACCAGCTTCAATCTGTATTTCCAACCATGCCTCTAGAATCCACAAAAACCCAAAATATGATGGTAGGAGGCTGCAGCCTACTGTATGTATTTGTAAGTGCACCAGTCTGCTCAGAAAAAAAGACAAAGGCAAGCCGAGGTTGTAAAGATCATCTTGGGAGATTAGAGGGGTGCTTGCAAGCAACTGCAAGTTTGCCCTCCAGTAAATGGGTGTTTCGAGTCGGGCCATGTCTTCCATGACAACTTACTTTAAAAGTGCCAGTAACATGATCTCTAAATATCAAATGTGCCTATCAACCCAAAAGGAGTGCGGTTCGTGAATCAAAGCAACGCAAATGTATGTATTTGAAATAGGATAGAACTTAATTGAGAACAACAAGTCTCTCTGATTTCAGTAGGACTAAGGTCTCATTGATTTCAGGGAAATTGATTTATGAATAATTTTCCTAAACAGTTCCTCACTCCTGGTATAGATCCAGATTCTACTTGAATGGCTATGTATTTCACTGGCCTTTTTCCATTGCCTCACGGAACTCAAAATGGCATTCGATTTTTCCCTGCAATCTAATGTTTTTCAGATCTGTAGGACTACAATTTCCAGTCAACAGACATGGTATCTGGGAATTGTGGAGCTGTAACCCAATACATCTGAAAAGCACAAGACTACAGCATACTGCTACTAATATCATTGCTGTTAATATTACCGAAAAATTATTTATCACCTAATCATGTCTAAGGGCTTACAAATAATGATGAAATAATAAGTGGCTACAGATTCACACAAAACAAAGCAGAAAAAGGATGGGGAGGGAAAAGAAAAACAGTATATATTATATGCAGGGCAGCGTAGTTTATGCTAATATAAGATAGTACAGTAGCAATGAGATATATTAATTTCAGTCATATTATTTGAAAATCTGTTATGACGCACTTTGGACATCAGCAACATATCTAATGCTAGGCCTGTGCTTGTAATGATTCAAGTGAATAATTCCTTTCACAAGTACAAGTTGAACAACCATAAAGAGTCAGTACAGTAGGTGTGCAAATAGGTTCATAGGCAATCCCAGTTAAAAGGTTCAAAATATTCAAAGTTTTCACTGGCAGCAAATGTTCCATTAACTCCAATAGCTTGGTTTTTCCATTCTGCATGTAGGAACAGCTTGACAAATGATCTCAAAATCATAACTGATGTTGAAGGATATTCACTGAAATATAATATCATGATGCGCTTTAGAATATAATAAACTACATATGGGTTTGCATTCAAAATTCCTCTCTGCCAGCAGGAGAAACTTATGAGTTGGGAAAGGTATGAGACAGTATCCAATGTTTTCTCATTCCCTTTGGAAATCCTGGGGTCCCTCTGGAAAAGTTAAGGATACTGCAAGGGATGAGGAATCTTTGTTGAACACTGTTTCTCAATTCTGCCCAAAGGAATGGCCAGTTAGCTGGACACTGTTTCTTGAACTGAAACTTTTTCCTTATGGAAGAGAACTTAAGGCAAGCTGCTGTACTTAAATGGCCTCAGCCCTAATATACAGGTAGTCCCCAGTTTAAGAACAAGTTCTGTTACCAAGATCTGTCCTTAAGTCAAATTTGTATGTAAGCCAGAACAGTATTATTGTATAATACCATACAAGTAATATTGTATAATGAACTCAAACCACTGTGTATGTAACTCGAATTTTGCTACAATAGGCTCCATTCTTAACTACGGGTTATCCTTAAACTGAGTGTTTTTAACCTGGGGACTACCTATAACTCTCTACTGCCTATCCCATCCTACCCTCACTGAAAGTAATACCTAAAGAGGCATAAAGAGAACAAGTGAATACAGTAGTAGTTATTTAAGAGGGACACATCTGAGGGTTAAAATTCAGGCAACACTACCTGATTCTAAGATTTGCTTACAATGCTCCATTTCTGCTTAGCAAAACTTTTTTGGAGGAAAGGTTAAAACATAAAACAATGCAACCAGTTCTTACTGTCATCACTGACATAGTCTTCCCAGTTAAAAGTGGTCACCGTCGTATTTACAAAGGTACCATTTTCTCCCATTGTGCTATTGAAGTAGGAAGTGATGTTTATTTCAAAAGTAGAATTGTCCGGTGGCCAAATCAGGCATTTATGCCTCAGGTTCCCCATGAAAAGTTGGAGCCCTATTAGTGCAAATACACTCAGACAAAACACGGTCAGGATCATGACATCTGAGAGCTTCTTCACAGATTGAATGAGGGCTCCTACAATTGTCTTGAGGCCTGCAAGCCAAAAAAAAAAACCAATTTCTTCTGATAAAATGTTCAGGATTTCATAAGAATGTGCTGATTTAAGTAACATTTCATGCAGTATGGCAACGAAATGAATTATCTTTGTGACAGTTTCATGAAAAGCCTGATTGCCTATGAACATGAATGAGAAGCTGTTAAATTTATGCTGATCTCAAATTTTATATACAAATAAAACAGATTTATATTTATAGATAAATATACACTGTCCATAATCAGAAAAACACTTTACCTAAGCAAAATATGATTTTGCTATCCATGCTAGACCTCTATAGAAAAGCACATTGTTTTCACTTGCTGTGTTTCTTGCCCAAACCATTATTGTGAGATCAGTTTATAAAGTGATCAACAATGTGACTAAGTTTATGTTTATTAATAAGAATATGTTATATTACTTATTTTAATGATGCTGGATTAAATCTTATTGAATAAAACAGGTGATGGTTTGGAGAAGACAGACAACTTCTAGGAAATCCCCATGCATGCCCCATGCTATCTTTCATGTTCTGCATATTTAACACGTAATATTAAAAAAACCACACACATATACACAACAGATTGCAAGTTTGTCTGAAGTGCCTGCAACAAATGGTAAAATTTGCATCAATATGAAAGCCTCAGTATATCGGCCTTTAATCTAAAAGTAGAAAGCTTGATGTCATAAGATGCAAATCGTATAGCCACTTACTGCAAATGTCTCATGCAAGAATTTGTTAAACACAAAGGCTGGACTGGAAACAAAACTTAAGCTGTAATATTTAAAAAGCAAAGAATCACATTTGACTGAAAACAACGTTTTCGATTCTTGCTTTTTATTTTTGCTTATACTGTGCAGTGAGCAACATGGCTTATGCTTAAAAAGGTGATTTCATCTTCCATGGAGTTTTAAAAAGTCAGCCTCTGGGTTTAACCTAGCTCTCACCTGGAATGACTGATATTGTTTTCAATGCCCGGAGAACTCTGAATGTTCTCAACGCTGAGACATTGCCCAGGTCCACAAACTCTGTCACATATCTGTAATAGGGGAGTTCACACACAAACACAATGACAGCACACAAAAAACAGCTGGAAATACCAGGGGCCTGGCACTTCATCAAGCCACTCCACTTCTTACCTGGGATTACAGAAATAGTTTTCAAAGCTCTCAATACTCTGAAAGTTCGAAGAGCTGAAACATTGCCTAGGTTTACAAATTCTGTTACATACCTGTAGAATTAAACCACAGTTATTCAGAATTGAGGCAGAGCTTAGGCTACTTGCTGGGGGTCTTTAATTACCACCTTGTCCCCCTTTGCTGCAATTGCCTTGTATTTACTAATATGCTTTCCTGACCTTCAAATTAAATGAAAATGTCAATGAACAAATCACATTGTTTTTTAATTAGTGAAAATTAATTTGGGAATTTGAGAGGTGGGGTATTAGTTTGTTATAAGCGAGTGGCCAAACATACTATTTTGCCTCTGCAGCCCAGACTGCTTCTGGAATACTAAAAACAAATAATATTAATAAGTGAGATGATATTTATTGTTATAGAAACCTTTCAAAATACTTTCCCCTCTTGAATAACATTCTTCCTGAGATCACTCTCTACTAATTCTGCAAAAAAAAAAGAAAAGAAAAGAAACCCCAAACCAAACCAAACCAAAATACTTACGCGAATGTTATAACTGTGAAATCCAACCAATTCCAGGGATCCCGGAGGAAAGTGAAACCTTCTAAACAGAAGCCCCTTGCAAGAATTTTTATTAGTGATTCAAAGGTATAAATTCCAGTGAAGGTGTATCTAAGGAAAATTTCAGCACAAGAATTAAAGGAAAATAATTATTAATTATTTTAGCACAACACTTTCAAAGGTGCTAATAAAAAATTAAAACAGAAAATGTCAGAATTTTAAGATAGCAAAAAATTGTGTTCTGGGGAATAAAGAAATGACCTGGTAATAATCCAAAAGGGTAAAAAGCAGATGGGAGCAATAGTTCTACTTCATGTTACATTTAACAGGTGAAGATTTTGGAGGTGTACCCAACCAGAAGAAAGCTGTAAGGAACTAAAATCCAACATGCAAGGATGTATGTATCACCTATAGGCAAATGCGTATAAGATTGCAGATTATAGAAAATAAAAATCTCTACTGGTGAGCATCATGCCAATGGAAGTATTCGAAACGATGGTATCACCGTCTGAACACTGAGAGCACTCACTGCGTAGAATGCAGGATGGCAATTAGGCCTTGCTTTCAGGCCCAGTTTACATCATAAATACTTATGCATAAGCTTGATGGGCACTAAAGACTGTAATCCAGGATAGTTTGTATAATTTGTAAGAAACAACATTATGAAACTCAGTATTGAGGTTTGCTTGCCATTAGAACAAATCACTTGATTACTGTATATAAAGACATGATTTCTAGATTCGTTAACACGTTGAATGGAAATGAAATTTCACTTACTCTACATTCTTTGTCCATTCTGGAGGATTACTCATGGTCATAAATACGCAGTTGGTTAAAATAGTGCACATAATAAGCATGCTGAATAATGTATTAATAGTTAAGGAAAACATACTGGAAAATACTTCTTAAGAATTGTCACATCAACAATGCATTCGGCTTATTTCCAGAATCAGTCATCTTTTCTATGTTTAGATGATGGTCAAAGAGAATTTCAAAAGTTTTCCACATTGTTCCATATTTTTTTAAAAAGTAAACATTTAAATAAGGTTAAATAAAAACAATAGGGGTTTTTACAGAAATGAAGCATGAAAAAAAAATTTTTTTTTAACCTCTTTGTTAAAAGTAAAATCAGGTGGTTGCAGCAAGATGTTGGTAGCCAATATAATACCAGAATGCAAGTAAGTTGGCAAGGCCATGAAGAGAAAGGAGAGGCATCCAGGGAAGAATATTTTGACATGGAGTAGAAAACAGTGTTCAGCTGAATATCTACTGTCTTTGTAAGACCTTGATTATTAAAGAACAATAATCCTGAACCATTAATGTTTCAAGGCTCAAATACAGCCTGATATTTTGTCTTACTTAAACTGATTTAAATTTCATATTTTCCAAAGGTAATAAAATCATGAAACAGGTGGCTTTTCCCCATAAATAATGGAGAATGGTTTGTGACTCAGTGTGCTTGTCTTCCATGTTAAAAATCTTGGATTAAGTCTCTGGCATCTCCATATAGGGCTGGAAAATGGCAGAGATTTCAGCCACTGAGAATGATAAATGATACAATGCAGCTGATAATGACGAAAGATGTGCCTTCATTCAAGGCAACTTTCTACTTGTTTCCCTTGTTTTTTTTTAGGTAGTCCTGGTGGGATAACTAGATCCAACTTTTTCCTCTTTTAGGGAGAATGCAATAAACATCTGACTGGCTTCAAAACAATTCTGTGCTTATTAATGAACTGCTAGTGGAAATACTTAAGAAAGTGGTGCTCTGGCCACGTGTGCCGCCTCCCTGAAAGACTTGCTCAAAGGGAAGGTAAGAACAAGACAAGAGTAATTCCAGGGATGTCTGCAGGGGATCAAAATAGTCAATATGGTGGCCACAGCCATGCAATTAAAGCCCTGGCCTTTTTTTTAATATGTGTCATGATACATGTAAAAAAGGGCAGGGCATTGATGGCATGATTGTGACTGTCATCTTGACTTTTTTGATTTCCTCCCTGAGGACATGGCTGAGTCATGCAAAGAATAATTCAAGGTTTGTGTCATCAACAACAGAACAGAACTCTTCCCTGTCACCATCTTAATAGAAATGTTCTCTTGTATATGATGGCACTAAATAGCCACGTGATGGCAGCATAAACTAAAACATATTTAGAGCGGCTTTACTTGAAGGGCTGGGTATTACATGTGCATTTCACCTTCCTAGAGGGTGCTCAGAGCATTATTGAGATGGATTGCACATGATTTCTATTCAGGTTTAGGTAAAGATTTTCAGTGTGATGATTCTGAAGAAGAATGGGACAGTAGATGCTTCTACCATAGAGTACTGCTTTGAGGACCAGAGGTCTTTTCTGATGATTTACTGGGATGTAAAGATTGGAACTGGGGGCCCTCCTTCTTCTGATAAGAGAATCTTAATATTTGGCCTTTTATAGGATGTTTCCCTCTAAGTCTGTTTCATTCCGCATGCAGGCATAGTCAAGCTGTTCATTAAGAATTTTCTACAATGTAGCTATCTAGGAGCAGAATGTGGTTGTGAGGCTCAAAAGAAAATTTGTGAAAAATAGTTCTGAAAACCATAAAAATATGAATTCATCTGGAATTTTATACACAGTTTTACACACTGGGAGTAAGTATCATGGAATATATAAGACATTTTAAAATAAGGTATATATTGGATTGTGCTGAAATGATGGAATCTGCTCAGTCTCTGGAGCTGGCCCAATGCATTACATGTTCAAATAGTAAAAACAAACAAACACAAATGACATACACAAATGTATTATGAGCAATAAACCAATAAAACCTAATAACTGACTATATAGATCTGATTTGGAGTACTTTTCATGAAGCTGCAATTCCACATAGTCTTATATGAGTAACATCCAGTGAATTCACGGAGGTTTACTTCTCAGTAGATATGCATAGGATTCCACTGTAAGGTACTGACGTTAGGAATGTAGAAACTGCATCTTAAAAATTGAAGGCCAATATTGCTTGACACAAGTATTTGCTGCTCACTAACATTTTGGGTGCTCTGAAATTAGAGAGAAACTGCCTTGCACAAAATAACTTAGAAACTTCACATTATGTACAGTACCATAATTTTATGCTCTACATCACATTTGCTCTAATTTATCTAAGAACCAGTGTTCAAAAGTCTCTCACCATTTTCAAGATTATCAATTAAAATGTAGATTCAGAATAATTATACCATACCAAAATCACATGAAAACGTATCAGTCATTTCCACTTGAAAAGGAATATTTAATTCTGTATAGAAAAGAAAACATAAGGACTTAATATTTGGACTTATGCTCATGTAAATTTGTACTGTATGCACATACAACTTGTGTGCATATGTATAGTTATGAAGCAAACATTAACTATATTATTTTTTCATGGAGGCAATCTAACTGTAGTTGATACCCTTGAGTCACAATACAATGCTTTGAGGGCTACATGGTGCATCCTAGTAAGAACATCTATTGAATGATCGTCATTTATGCAGTGGTTAAGAAGGAGACATCCGCATGATTTATTGGGTGAATACAGAATGCAGCATCTTACAAGTTATAGATGAGTTTCAACAGGCATAACTTTTGGACTGCTCCAAATTTATATTTTGAACACCTGTTTAATTGTCTGAAAATAAATGTGAAATATCTAATAAATCCATTTATATATACCATGGAACCTGAGCATTTAGCAGAAGATGCAAGGCACAATCAGTTCACATGGAATCTTGGTTTGGCTTGATATGCCTCATTACAGCCCCAGGAATTGAAACAGCTCATCCAATATAAGCCAAATCTCCCTGTATCTCACTGCAGGGAAGGAGTAATGGGTAGATAAATTCATTTTAAGAAAATGTGCATATCATTATTAATTTTACTGAGGAGCTCCTGATAACCATCTACAGATCACAGGGAAGAGTCCAAATCACTGGTGTTTGGCATAATAAAACAAAATGCCAAAGCAGAATCAGAGAAACAAAGGCTGCAGACAAGAAGTCAGGGTGAAAAAGGAGAAAATTGGAAGAGAAGGAAGGCTATTTAACAACTTGTTTGAGAGCTCTGCACTTCATGAATGTGTAGAGGACAACATCTGTAGAAATGGGTAAAAGGGAGAAAGAGAAAATGCACAGGGTAAAGCAAGAGATAAGCAAACAGAAAACCCATGGTTCAAATAATCCACATACTGAAAACAGAATTAGCAAGATTTCAATCATTATGAAGAACTTGAAAAGGATATGAATGTACCAAAATCTTAATAGCTATTTTTCTAAGAGGGTTGAAAGGAGTTAACAGGTACACAGCAGACGTGGCACTGAATCGGAATATTGCCTTCCCTTTATTCAATACTATAAATGTCTAGAAGAAAAAGTAACAGAATAATGGGGAAAATGGGATTCAGAACATGTAAGACGGGCTCTGCATTGGTCTATCATATATGTAGAACAGTCTATTAAGGCAGCAGTTACGAACAGAAAGTAAACTCTCTGTGTCCCATCTAATCTTCAACTAACATTATGATTTCAAGTGGGCTCATCAACTAAGCAGATGCTTTTTTAATGTGGAGCCAGCCTACAGTTCAAAACTGTACACTCAATTCAGGAGCAAAACCTAGAATTTGACAGGATGAGGAAGGCTCTTTCTTTCCTTCTGTGGCTTTAATTGTAGACTAGCTTCTCACCAGCTTCAGCATCAGCAACCCAGCAGCTCCCCCCGCTCCCTAATATTCAGAGCCTATGCAGAGTCAGGCATATCTTAATCTATTGAGATCAATGGGCTCAGGCAAGTCCAGGTCTATGTAACATTACAGTGTTCTTCTCTGCCAAATAAAGAAAACCAATTAAACACTTCTTATTTTTGGCAGGACATGGGTCTCAACAGCTAGAAGGTATTACATGCATTCTTACTTGTGAAGCTGCACATGGTCTCTTTTGTATACCTGGGAAAACTGCATAAAGAAAAAATGATGTATAAATGGTGCTCCACGATCATACTTCACCTATAAGTGTTTTTATACTTTTTAAAAATTGTTATACTTTCCAAAAATCTCTGTGAAAATGTACCTGTGGAATAACTGGAGGGTCCCCAAACCTGATACATGCAAACCGGGGCTCCAATTTTACTAGAGTCTTGGGAAAGTTTGCAGTGAATATATTCTGCTCTCTGTTCCAGGTTCCCACCAAATTCCTGCAATTTCAGGACATACTCTGTATTTTGTTAGCATATGACAGGGGAACTGTGATTGTGTTCCCCATTGAGAGAAATGAAGAGAGACACTATGTAATCTATGCAGAGATTTGGTATTTGCTGTGTAGAATTAACAAGCTGGGGCACATCTGTTTGCTGGTAAAGGGATGTAGCAGATATAGCATTTGCTTTCCCTTCAGAAAGTCTTGGGGTAGGTCCCATCCATGAACTGGGACCCATTGGCATGAATTTAAAGGTACAATTAACATAATAGATTTGAAAAGATGGTAAGTTCAGTATCATCTGCATATTGATAATATCTCATCCCCAATCAATGGATGACCTCTCCCAGCAGTCTCATGTAGACACTGAACAACAGCAGAGAGAGAATAAAGTGTTTGGGCATCCACAAGTAAACATCTGACAGGCTGACTTCTACTCCCCACCCATCACAGCAACTCCCAGTCTTCACAGACAATCCAGCAGGATAACCTGGCTAATAGTATCAAGTACCCCCGAGAGATCTAATAATACCAGAATGAATGCAGTCCCCCAATGTGTTGAAGGTTCCATAACTGGAACTGAATCCAAACTGAGGATACAGCAACCTATTCACTTCATCGGAGTTCACAGATCAAAAGAAGTCCTAGATAATACTGCAAGTGGTGTTTCAGGCATGACTTCTGATTCTGCCCACGAAGAATCAAGATTATAGAGAATGTGAGCAATGTTTGCAACAAAATCTTCATAAGACTCTTTTCCTGCCCCTAACAGGAAGCAGCCACATTTAAACAAGCTCTTCCCCTCTTTTACTGTCACAATGTAGGCTTGACCATAGTTTGTACCCATGCTCAGTCAGATTATTTTTTAGTCTTCTTTCCTTTCACTGCCACTTCAAGTGTTGCTTATATCAGTTCTTGTCCCATAAGTCCTGGTAAACCAAGGAACACCCCAACCCCAGTATCAACCAGTAGAGAAAGAGGCTGCTCGGGAGGAAAACTGCCAAGCATCCCAATCACCACCTCATTCCAGAAGTCCACCAGACACTCAGTGAAACTGCCTAACAGATCATATGAAACTCCCCAGGCACCTTCTGGAATCCACCTGGATCCATTAGATCCTGGGAAAGACCTTCTACATGGGCCCATTTACCCTGCAGAGGTTATGAGCAGTGAAAATGTCATCTGGACCAGGAAGTGATCCAACCATGTCGAAGGACTCAGTCTAATGTCATCCAGATCCAGTTCACATACTAACTGTTCTGAGATAAAGACAAATGTCTGCCAGTGTGATTATGTGCATGGTCATATGCTAAAAAGCCGTCGTAACAATTTTTATCTTGAAAGAGTTGCTAAAAACTCAGGAATCCAGGAACCAGGAGGTGGGTGAGGCCAGAACTCTTGCTAATCTAAACAGTAGTACAAACATCCTGCTAGCTGAGTTGTATAAAAAGGAAGCTTATCTAACTTTTACTTTTTCTTTAGCCCTTAGCAAAAGGGCTCTACTCAGAATAAGTAAGCGGAATGAAATTTTGGAAACTACTCATTGAGCAGCATTTGATCTTCTAAGTACATAAAAAGAAGATGTATCTTACTGCTCTTATACATTTTCTTATAGAAGAAATTACAAGGAAAAATAATGTCCTGCTGTTAAGGCCTACAGTAGCCTTCCCCAAATACAGCCCTCCAGATGTGTTAACATAACCTGACCCTGCCCTTTTTGGGAGATGGGCATTCAATACCTGTGAAGGATACCAGGCTGGAGATGGCCAGCCAAAGAATTCTTTTCATCTTATTTAAACTGAAAGCAGGAAAATCTTCCGTAAGATTTACTGCCTACAACAACAGCTCCCCATTGTTTTACAGCAGGTCTGACTCAGGTTGCTCTGATGCTACAGATCTAACAGCAACCCAGCTAGTTGTAGGATAGCACAGAAACCAATGAAACATTTATATCCTCGCTCGTATGAAAAGAAGAACTAGGCCAGAAGGCAATTGCAAAATAGATTCAATCATTTAAAAACACTGACTCTGTAAAGTGAAGATTTGTTGCTAGTGTCATGTAATTTTTGTTAAATATTTTTTTCAATCCTTTTCCTCCAGATGTGTGAATACCAAAGATACAATAAAACTGCTTCACATGCAAAAAAGGGGGGGGGGGATAACATATTTACAGTACTGTAATATTCTTCCCATGTAATGTTTTATTTATGAGCATCAGTGAACAAAAGTAATAATCCTTATTTATGAGATAATAATCTGAGATCTAGAAATTGTCCTCTGATGTACTGGCTAAAGAGGACTCCACTGATACTGCAGAATTTCTCTCCTCCCAAATTCTATGTTAAACTCACAGCAGAGACTCACTTTTTTGTTAAGGTAATACGGGTCCAGGTCCTCCAATGGCTCAGACACCATTCCCGGAGGTATGTCTCCATATATAAAGGGCAGTGATTTGCCGGCTTCCAAATCACTATTCGGTTTTGGTCCATTTTCATCGTCATCGACGTCTTTGCGCTCTTGTTTGGACTTCTTAGCCTTTTCCTCGGCAATGCGTTGTTCAATAGCTGCCAGTGACTCTTTCGTAAAAAAGCGGAAGCTGTCAGGTCCTGGTGGTACCAGCACTGACTGTGCCATCTTTTCATCCTGCAGCTCTTAATTACAATTGTGCCCCATGCATAAAAAAATGCTAGGATACACAAAAACACATAAAAGATTAGGGTCATGCTCTCTGGAACAACAGAGAAATGCTTGCATATTATTTTCTTCAGTGCAGTTTATTGGCTAGATTACAAACGGGACAGCAGGGCTTGGATGTCAATTTATTTATGGATTTTCTTAGCCAGTTTTCCTCCTTTTTCTTATATCTTTTTAAGCACTAAGAGAGTGGAAATCAAATTCATTCTTAGGAAAATCAGCTTTAATTCTTATGAAAAGCAGTGCACTGGCAACAGTGTAAAGAATGCTCTGTGCTGAATATGTTATTTTCCTATTTTTAAAAATAATAGCATATAGCAGGTTTGTTAACAATCTGCAGCACAAATGAGCAACTCACATTTTAGCTTATAGTGTTGTATAAATCCAGCCAAAGTACTTTATTAGGACACTTCCAGGTGACCAGCATTTCTGTCTGCCAATTTGTCTGAATTTAGTATAAAATGCAGATCTATTTGGTCATTAGAACACGTCAACCACAGGCATATTTGTGTGTTTGCAAGCTTATACTGCAAATGCCAGAGAGCAGCCAGCCAATAACTGATCACAATCACTCCAGGCCACTAACTGAGCACCTCACCTTATGCCTTTTTGCCCATGTTGAAACACATATCCCTTTACCCCCATCACAATAAATTGCTAGCGCTCCTTGGTTTATATGCTCACCCTGATGGCAAACCTCTGTCATCTTCAACATTTCTAACACTGACATACCAGCAATTCTACATACGGGCTCCTTAACCTGCCACCATACTACTATGACCAGATCCTAGTAGGTGGGAAATGGGGTGGATCAAAATCTCTCCAATTAGAACTCAAACAATCCTTACAGGTGTAAGTTAGTAACACGTTTCTATTTATGAAGACATATTTGCTGCCTTGAAATGAAATTTTGCAGTGGATACAATGGCATTTTTCTGTGGATACAATACCACTGTCACAGGGATATATCAAAATTGCTCACCAATTTTGGTACCAAATCATGAGATCGATCTTGCATGAGAATTGAGATTGTGCCCTTATCTAGAAGATCTCAGCAACAGAAGCAAATGACGGGCCACTACCTTGAAAAACATATAGTCTAAATTCAGTCCGTGAAAATTAGAGTTAAAGGTAATATGTACTGGAAAAGTGAAGAGTAATAAAATGCATGATTAAATTTTAAATATATCTGGATGATGCTCTATGCAGTAAATAGAAAACAATTAAGTTGGATCTAGTAGATCCACTGATTCCAACTGGTCTGTTCTGCATATATTTAGGTTAGATTTAAAGTTCTGTTTTATTCCTTTTTCTCCTTTGTACAATATACCCCTGTATACTACATATCTTGTTATGATAAGAACACTATTTATTCAGGTTTAACTAACTGAGCTACAGAATGCTAAAATTCAGCACAGAACTCTATAATCACTCACTGTGCTGAACCTGGTTACTAAATTAATCCATATTCTGGGTCTGAACAGTACACTGAACAGTAAGCCAACCAAATTAGCTAGATTTCCACAACATAATAAGCAATGAAAAGACTAGCCAAGCTTAGCATGACATGCAAATGTAGCTGTTAGGTTTTTCTCTAACCTAGTTGTGTGTGCTGTGGGATCACAACTACTGTCAGTAATCTTTCTGAATGTGCAACTAACGAAAGCAGAACATTTTTGAGCATAAGCAGATAAACCAATATTCAACTTTTACCCATCTCACTTTAAAACAACGCTTCATAATTTTGAGGCAGCAATGTTACAGCCAAAATACATCAGTTAACATGGCCACAGATCACATCCAATTACACTTTTTCTGTGTGTAGCATAAGCAATAACCTTAGTTGTTATTTAGGGCATTTGGCCAGGTTTTAGCTAGTATTAAAAGCTTCCTGACATAAACTCATATGGCACATGCTGAATGCTCTGAGTCAGAAGGAAAGCTTCTCAAATCATGAAAAAGTATAACTGACACAGGAAAAATTACCATTCCAAGAAATTGGGAATACATAACTGTCACTTTACCAAGCTCCAATGTACATTGGGGTAGTGGACTAGAGTATGGGAGATGGTGAATTCTAGTCCTGCCTTAGGCACGAAGCCAGCTGGGTGACCTTGGGCCAGCCCTTCTCTCTCAGCCCTGGAGGCAAGAGCAAACCACTTCCAAAAATGTTGCCAAGAAAACTGCTGGGACTAGTCCAGTCAATCACCAGGAGTCAAGATTGACTTGAAGGCACAAATATATGTTAGTATTGGGAAGTCTATTTCACCAGTTGGCTGAATCAATTAATTAAAAAATTGTTTTAAAAGAAACATTTACATATTGAGTGAGTCTAGAACTAACAGAATTCACTTCAGAGCTACTTTAAGCACTGCAACCACAATAACTGAAAAGCCTCATTAATTTAGTGAGCTGAGGCTGTTACTGTCACCTAACAAGGTATGTGCTAAGAACTGTAATAATATATAATAATTGGGAATCTGGCCTGGATCCTTGAGATTCCCTGCCTGAACATACTATGTTGTTTTTTAAAAAATCCTTTATGAAATTAGGAGTTTGTCTAGAGGGTGGATAACCAAACCCTTTCTTATGCTTATTGCTTACAAATGTATGCATTTTATTTTTCCCGACTGGAAAAGAGAGTATTTTTCATGCTGCTTCATGCCCTTGCTGATTTTTTTTTATTCTAATGCAAAAGATGCTTTAATCTCTGCCATATTGTTCTGAATCAGAAACTGGATAATTGTAAGCAATGAAATAGTTGCAGAAATCTGATTCTTGGGAATCAGGTGATGGATCAGAACAGTCAATGTTATCTGAGGATGGTGTATGGTCACCAGCTCTTGCTAACACTCCACCACCGTGTGAAATGGAAAGGCCTGTGGTTTTCTTCTGAGGAAGTGTAATGAGGGGGAAAAAGGGTTGAACCAGACTGTCCTTCAGTTCTGAGGTAACCGTACCCATGGGTGACCAGTGACTGGAAAATGAGGCTCCTTGTTGCTGCCCCCCATGGTTTTCTCCGTCCACACCAGTCCTCTAGGGGGCCAGGAAAAGATGGAAGGGGAGATCCTCACCTGCTCAGCCCAGGTCTGGCTAAATACATAAAGAAAGCCAAACAAAAACTTTGGGGAGTCAGTAGCTCAGTCCAGCTGAGGCGTGTGATAGAAGGCAACTGGTCAACTGAAACAAAAATCAACTTTATGAAAAGAAGATAAGCTTCCACTCACACAACAGACAGTTTAAATACAAAATAATAATAGTAATAGTAATAGTAATAGTAATAGTAGTAGTAGTAGTAGTAGTAGTAATAATAATAATAATAATAATAATAATAATAATAATAATAATAATA